GTGGCTCCCTCCCACATGCGTGTGCCCCCTGGCCCTCTCCTCCCCCCTTGCCTTCCTGCTGCCCTGATCAGTCGAAAAGAGTTTGTCACATCAGCAGTGTGCACGGTACTGTTCAGTTCCCTCGTAGTGTGCATGATGCGCTCTTGCTGTGCCATGTCTGTCCCACACGCCGCGTTGTGCAGCTACCCAGCCTTGTGCGCGTTGTGCTCCCGCCGTGCCATATTCGTTGTGCTCTTAGTCTTGGGCTGCTCTCTCAACCCGCCCGTGTTGGGCCTTCATGCCGCCAGCAGCACCTGCTCGAGACCACTTGTAAAAGAGGCGTCAAGAGGCGTTCAAGATCGGGGTCGCCCCGCGGGTCCTGGGACCGTCGGCGGCCCGCTGTCCGCTTTGTCGCCCGCCCGCGACGCGGTTTCCTCGCCCCCCTTTCCCCTCTCCTGCCCGTCCAGGGTCCCGAACGGGGGTCAGGCCGTTTTCCGCCTGCACAAGGATCGGTTTCCACGCACCTGGAGCCGATGGTTTCAGCCTTTCGTCTTCATGTTTTACCTTTGCCCCGCCTTGGCAGTCGGCCGCCCCATTTTGGTTCGGTGTGCAGCCTCCCCCCCTCCCCTCTCTTCCTCGGCAGCTGTTTGGCTCGTGAGGTCTCGTCTCGCACGATCTCTTGAGCTGAACCTCCCGTGCCATCCTTCCGACCAAGCGACGGCGCCCAAGTTCTCGAAGCCCGCGCCGATGCCGTGGCCTGCAGTGACGCTTGCCGACTCGCCCAGTCACGATGCGGCGCCTCTTCGCGAGGCGTTGGCGGCGAAGGCTAAGGCGAAGGCCGAGGCACGCGCGAAGGCCAGCGGTGCGACCGCGGCCGACGCGCCCACTCCCAACGCGGGGCCTGCGCAGCGCCCTGGCCAGCAGGTGGGCGCGTCGGAGAGCGAAGATGCCTCGGACGAGGGGTTCGACGTGATGTCTGAGGCGGCGACCTGTCGGGCGGCCCCGACACTGCCCACGGGATCAGTGACGCCTGCCGAGGGCGCCGACGGAGGCAGCGGCACGGGGGCCGCCCCCAGTGCCGCTGCCTCCGAAGGTGCCTCGGACGGAGGCCCCACGGCGGCGGCCGAGGCGCCTGCTGAGGCCTCCGCGATGCCCACGTCGGCGGTGGTGCCAGTGACGAGGGCTGCCCTGGCAGCGGCAGCCACCTACTCCAACCTCGCCACGGAGCAGGGCCGCGGGTTGGACGCGATCACCCTCGCGCTCCACAATCTCCAGCTGCGGGAACAGGCCGTGGGCGGCCGCGGTGGCCGAGGTGCGCGCAGCGACGCCGATGGCGGCCGCTCCGTGGACGATGAGACCGCCAGTGAGGCCCCGAGTGCAGCGACCACGGGCGCCCTCAGCGGTCATGGAGGCAAACGCCACCGCCGGCGCAGCAACAAGGCCGCCTACGGCCAAGCCCCCCCGCCGAGCGGCGGCGCACCTGCCGCGCTCGAGGACGCCGGGATGATGGCGGACGAGGACTACGCCGAGGCGGGCTACGTCCACTGCATGGGTGCGTTCTGGATCCCGCCGCAGCGCCTGGGACGGTGTCGGGTGTGCTCAGAACTGGACGACTGGAAGATCATGATGGTGGAGTACGTGGGCGAGCTCAGTTGTGGTGAGATGCGCCGCTACGCCGAGGCTTCAGAGCGCAGCCCGCAATGCCCCGAGCTCCGGAAGGGTGCTCCGGGCCAATACAAGCTATACGCGTGCTCGCGCTGCGTGGCGGCGACGCAGAACATCGCCGAGCACGAGGCCGTGACGCGCGCAGCGCGCCTGAACAAGGGTGCTGGCTCCATCGACCACGCCGCCAAGTGAGTGGCGAAGTTCCGCGCGAGCTTCGACCACATCAAGGAGGGCATGGACGTGCTGGTGGGGTTCGCGCTCTCCGACGACGGCCTGCTGGCCCTGCGGAGGTCAACGGAGGGCGTCGGGGTGGGCATCGATCCCGAGGGCACGGGCGCCCCCCCAGCCACGGAAACGGTGGCGGAGGAGGTCGGTGGCGGGGCCGCCCCGCGCGCCACCTCCACCCCTCGAGGATGAACCTGGCCCCGCAGACCCTGCGCGTGGCGAGGAGAACGATCCCCCGCCCGACAGCGATGCTGAGGACCAGGAGCACCAGCTGACCAACGTCACGACCGTGGAGGAGGTCACGGATATCGAGCCCCTGCTGCGGCTCGGGCTCTCCAAGAAATCACTGAAGCGTATGGCGCGGGCCTGTGGTGTCCTCAAATTCGAGACCATGCGCGCCCACATCCTGGAGAAGAAGGAGGACATGGTGAGGGGCGCAGAGGCGCAGGGCGGGGTCCAGAAGTGGCTCGACGCGCTGAATGAGGAAGCAGAGGATGATGTGGGAAGACTGAAGAAGGGCCTCCTGGAAGCCTCGGGGGTCGCGGACGCACACCTGGGACACAAACGTGCCTGGAAGGAGGAGTGCCAGTGCAACGCCATGGCGCAGGAGGCCTACCGACGCATGGGCGACTACACGGATCAGTTCTACCGTGGCAAGGGCTTCACGTTCAACATGTACTACAAGTGCTCGGCCAACAAGACCTGGGACAATCCCAGGGGATTCTGCTCGGTGATCCGCTCGGATCGCTGGACGCAGCTGCTCACCTGCGCGCAGGAGGCGGCGGGTGAGACAGGCCAGCGCTGGTACTGCCACTGTGGGGCGCGCCACGCGACCTCCTACGGCGTCTGCGTCGAGTTGATAGAGGAAGAGCAGAACCCGCCGCGTGCGTATTACATGCACGCGGAACACCCCGAGGAGGACATCCGCGACTTGAAGGCCTTGCTGCGTTACGACAAGCTCAAGAAGGAGGGGGTAGCGGTGATCGGCGCTGTGGACCTCCTGAAGCACCTGCCCAAGGTCGAGCCGCTGGCGGTGGGCACCGTCTTCATGCGCTACGCTCCAGAGCAGCCGCAGTGGGAGGGCCACTATGCGCTGATGGATGGGCTCTCCTGGGAGAGCCTGACCGAGTTCAAGTGGACCGACCTGTGCGCGCAGGTCGCCTGGGGGCTGAACGATCCAGAGTGGGCGGGCTACACCAAGAAGCAGCGGAATAGGGCCAAGAGGGAGCGCCTGGCGACCGCGTACAACGAGCTGGCGCTCTACGAGCGCCGCCACAACCTTCGGGAGGGCAGCCTCACGGGCGGCGGGGGTGGCACCGTGGCCGCCCCGCGTGCCACCCCCGTCCGCGCCGCCAGCGCCCCTCCAGCGGGCGTGGCCCGCGGCAGCCAGGGCCCGCCACCACCGCCTGCTGGGGCCCCGCCAGCGGCCATCATGGCGCCGCCACCGCCGCCGCCGACGGCGCCCCCTGTGGTGCCGCCGCCGCCGACGGACCCGCCGCCGCCGACGGACCCGCTCCCGCAGCAGATCCCTAATGTTGCCGCCCTGAACGTGGCCCTCGGCGAAGATCTCGAGCGCCAGATCTTTGGGCCCTCAGGGCAGGCGGGCGGCAGGGGCGACCTCGGGGGAGAAGTGCAAGCGCTGCCGTCGCAGGTCTTTGCAGCCATTGCGCAAGGAGCAGACCAGTCCGCCTGAATGATGAAACCCAGTAGGCCCACAGCATCGAATACTTATAAGCCCTCGGGGAGGCTAAGGGAGTCCATGTTAAGATCCCGAGCCAGCCACTCTCAAAGATGCTGAACCTGTAGGTTTGCTTACGCCCCAGCTTTAGCAACGCCGCCTGGCCAGCGAGTGTGGGTATGCCCACAGTGGTGCCCCCCTTGCGCCGCGGCTCCTGTCGCTTAAGCCTCCGCTCTTCGCACGGGCAACTGTGCGCCTAGCCATTCTGGCTTGCCATCCTGGCCTCCTCTCACGCCCACTTGCGCTCGTGGGCCTCGCTGGCGGTGCTGGGGCCGCCCCGTGTGCTGCCGCGACGCCGCTGGGCGCCTAGCCATTTTAGCTTGCCATCCTGGCCTCTTCTCGCGCCTACTCGCGCTAGTTGGCCTCGGTGGCGGTACTGGGGTCGCCCCGTGTGCTGCTGTGCCGCCGCTGTCGCTTCACTTGGGGCCGTAGGGGCCAGCTGCCCTCGGATAAGCGCCCGCCGCTGCATGCACGTCAGACCCGCCTTTCACCCAGAAGAGGTGCTCGCTACATACTGGAAATGAGGCAGCCACAAGGACGCTCTCCCCAAGGAGGTTGGGCCGTGGTGAAGTGGTGCACGAGACCGCCAGTAGTAGTAGTAGTAGTAGTAGTAGTAGTAGTAGTAGTAGTAGTCGTAGTAGTCGTAGTCGTAGTAGTAGTAGAAGTAGTAGTAGTAGTAGTAGTAGTAGTAGTCGTAGTAGTAGTCGTAGTCGTAGTCGTAGTAGTAGTAGTAGTAGCAGCAGTAGTAGCAGTAGTAGTAGTAGTAGTAGTAGTAGTAGTAGTAGTAGTAGTAGTAGTAGTAGTAGTAGTAGTAGTAGTAGTAGTAGTAGTAGTAGTAGTAGTAGTAGTAGTAGTAGTAGTAGTAGTAGTAGTAGTAGTAGTAGTAGTAGTAGTAGTAGTAGTAGTAGTAGTAGTAGTAGTAGTAGTAGTAGTAGTAGTAGTAGTAGTAGTAGTAGTAGTAGTAGTAGTAGTAGTAGTAGTAGTAGTAGTAGTAGTAGTAGTAGTAGTAGTAGTAGTAGTCGTAGTAGTAGTAGTAGTAGTAGTAGTAGTAGTAGTAGTAGTAGTAGTAGTAGTAGTAGTAGTAGTAGTAGTAGTAGTAGTAGTAGTAGTAGTAGTAGTAGTAGTAGTAGTAGTAGTAGTAGTAGTAGTAGTAGTAGTAGTAGTAGTAGTAGTAGTAGTAATAGTAGTAGTAGTAGTAGTAGTACTAGTAGTAATAGGAAAGGGGAGGGCATGGAGGGGGTGGATGAGGGAGAGAAGGAACATGAGGAGGAACAGTAGGAATATGAAGAGGCGCATGGAAGTCATGAGGGGACAACACGGAGGGCGAATCGGACATCTTTGAGACCGCCCCTGTCCCGCATCTGTGCCCTGGTAACGGCCCCCTTCGCGTGGCCTTGGCCTGACTCTTCGCGGCTTTCGCCGCCTCGCACCACTTGGCGAAGCTCGGGTCGTCGTAGAAGGGGCGGCCTGGGAGCGCAGATGGCGGACTCCTCCTCCTCCATCTTCTTCTTCTCCTATCCCCATCCTCCTTCTCATCCTCGTCCTCGTCATCCCCTTTGGCATGCTAATCTAATCCCTCCGTATTCTACTGGTTTTCGTCGTCCTCCTCCTTCTCCTCCTGCTCCACCCCCCTCCTTTTCATCATCTTTCCGCTGCGTGCTCGTCACATTTGTCCACCGTGTCCTCCTTTTCCTGTTCCTCTTCCTCCTCCTCCTCCTCCTCCTCCTCCCTCTTTTCCTCCTCCCCCCTCCTTCTCCTCCCCCCCCTCCTCCCTCTCTGCTTCTGGCGCCGTCCCCTGCCGCCGTGGTAGGGGTGCTCCCTGCCCCCGATCGCCCTGTGGGGCCTCCGCCCTCCAAGAGGGTCAGGGCCTCTGGGGGGCCGTGGAAGTCTTGGGTCGCTCGGGATGCCGTCCTCCCCGTTTGCCCCCTCTCCGCTCAAGGCCCTGTAGGGCCGAGTCGAGCTCGGGGACACCATATTGTCCTTGCTGGGGCTACCTTTGCCTTCTGTCGCCGCTGCGGCGCCCCAACCGTCGGCCCCGCGCTCCCGTTTTTGGGGTGACTGCTCGGGTATTGCATCCAGTAAGGACGCCGTGTATTTGAAGTCCCTCGAGGTTGGTAGGGATCCTACCTCGGGGGAGTGGAAAGGCGAATCCCGTCCTTCCACGCTTCTGGCGACGCCTGTTTCTGGCTTCGTCTTCGGTAATTCGCCTCCGCCGTGGTTTACCTTCTTTAGTCGCCGGGTCGCGTGTGCTCGCCTTTTCCGCCTGTCTCGTTTTTCTCCTGTCCTGCCTCGGCGCACTCGGATCGATTTGGTGGTGCCCCTTCCTCCTCCTCCTCCTCTTCCTCCTCCTCTTCCTCCTCCTCCTCCTCCTCCTCCTCTTCCTCCTCCTCCTCTCTCGCTGCTGCTCATCCTTCGCTGCCCTCCCTCCGCGCTGACCTGAGAAGAAAAGGCGTAGAGGAGAGCATGGTGACGAAGAGGACGAAGAGCATGATTATGTGGCTGCAGATAGTGATGACGGCGAGGCGGAAACAGGGTCATGGGGAAATGCGGTGGCCTGATGAAGACGACGAAGCCATGTAATGCAATGTCACGGTGATGGGGGCAATGATGCGTGTGAGGATGTGAAGGGAAGCCAGAATGGCGGCGGAATGGGAATGGTCATGGGGAGGACACGGATGATTCGAAACTATGACGGAGAGGATGGAGGAGGGAGTGGAATGGGGGATGCCGATCAAAGATCGAAGGGGGGCAAAGACGGAATGTAGAGGATACTGAAAGGGGATGGTGAGGAGGAAGAGGATGCATGACGCAGGCTGCGGACACGGAACCGTCGGGGGCGGCGGGGCCCTGCCTTGCTCAAGGGAGGTGGAGGAGCAGGAGGAGGAGGAGGAGGAGGAGGAGGAGGAGGAGGAGGAGGAGCGACGGTAGCAGAGGGCGCGAGTTTCCCGACGGGCGGTGGACTAGCGGAAAAGCGTAGCGCGAGCTGCATTGACCGACGCTGCCATCATGTTCGGCGAAGAATCCTCAACCAACTTTTGTCCGTTATAGATATGAAAAGCCACAACCACGCGCTAGACGGTCCGCCGCAGCGAAAGTACGTCGGAAGGGTCAGGCACGTAAGCGGCAGCAGGGCCGAGCCCCCAGGTTGTGAGTGTGGATTGGAGCAGAAGGGGTCTCGGGAGACCAAAGAAGACGAAGCAGAGTGGGGCAGGAGAGGTAGTGTGGAAATGAATCCGGCTGCCGGGTGCAACCAAAGACGCAACATCTCTGCTCGAGGACGTGCATGCGTGCAGTGGTGGCCCAATCGCCCGCGAGAGCTTTGATCAATGCCCAGCGCCAGCTTGGACGAACCTCCCCGCGAACGGTCGCCAACAGATTCCAACGTGCGGAAAGTACGGCAGGCGAGCTCAGATGATCAGAGCAGGCCCAAGCATCAACGCGTTTTTGGAGAGTGTCTTCAACAGGCGACGTGAAATTAACACGGCGCAGTACCGTGGCGATCTTACGTTGCACCTTGGGGCGACGCGGCACGGCAGCAGCCTGTTGTTGCTCCCGGCGAGCGGCAGGCGCAGCCAAGGCAATCGATGCCGCAGCGAACGGCGGCATGCGGGAACCACAGTGAAACGCCTGGTAGTATTGCACAATTGCTGTGTCCTCCTCCCAGAATGGCGGAGACCACAGGCCACGAGACCATCGAAAAAGAAGATCCTGCATCGTACTCTTCTCCCAGGCCCTGTCCCGCAAGCGAGCGTGAGCAGCCTGCCACCGGCCGCCAAGTGTGTGCATAGCGGAACGCATGGCAGCAGCAATGGCCTGCACTTGAATCGAATGGGGCGTCGGTGACGGGCTCCACTCGGCAAGCGACGTAGTTATGGGAAAAGTAAAGCTTGCGGCGCACAATCCGCCGCTCCACTGGGAAGAACTGGCTAATATAGCTGAGGGTGGTACTTGTGGAAGTGTTGTATAAACAGACTGTGACATCACTCCCCTCTGGACAAGCGCGAGTTGGTTTCCGCGCGACCACCATTCCTGTCCAGGAGCAAGCCAGTGGCAGGCAAAAGAGGCCGAGAGGCCGAGAAAAGTGCCGAAATATTTGGCGCGTCCCTCCACCGCGAACATCCCCCACGAGGGTGAGATCTCGGCAAGGAGGGAACGCGTTTGCGCCTGGACGTCAACGCCTGTGCCCAGAGAGGGACGACTACGCATTTGCAGGGCTTCAGCCTCAGACGGGCGGACTCCGCCGCAGCCATCGGCTCGTATGCCTTGCGGAGCGTGTCGAACTCGATCGAGAGCAGGCCCACGTCGTCGGCGCAACCTCCAACATAACCCTTCTCGGGGTCGGGTCGGCCATCCGCGTCCCCACCGAACGAGCAGAAATGGTGAAGTAGCGGGTCCATCGCGATGGCCCACGCCGAGCCGCTGGCAGGGCAGCCCTGTGCCACGCCAGACTCGAGGGCGAACATCGCAAAGCGGACGCCGCCGATCTTGACGTAGCTATTCGGGGCGTAGTACAACGCGCGGAACAAGTTCAGATAGCCCTGCGGGAGGCCGAATTGCCCCAGAGCGCAGAACAACCAGACCCTGCCTAGCGACGGGAACGCCGCGGCGAAGTCGAAACTGGTGAACATCGGCAGCTTCGTCGGGGCGTCGGCCGAAAGGGAGGCCGTCCGCATCTCGCCATCCAAGAGGACGATGTGCTGGGCGAAGGCGCGACTGGGCACGAAACCATGCTGAGAGGGATGAATTCGTTCGCGAACTGCCGCCCTCATGCGGTAATTGGCGGCCCCCGCAATTGCCTTGATGTCCGTGTTCTTGAGCGACAGCGGGCGCGTGTCCTCCGGAGCACTGTCTGTCGTGAGTGAGCCCGTGGCGTTGTCGCCCTTCGGCAAGAAGGCGAAGTCAGAATCGTTCAGCAAGCGCGGAATATATTGCCCGGGGCACAGAAACAACGCCAAGTCCTCCAGAAAGTCGAGCGACTCGTCGCAAGCCAATCAGGCAGCGTACGGCAAACAGTCCGGGTCAGGAGCAGAGGCACGAGCGCGGCGGAGGAAGGCGCGGATGGCGCTCTTCGACGGAGCGTCGAGGTCCAGTATGTCGCCTTTCGGCATGTGCGCGTGGATGTACGCGGCGACCTGGCCCTCGTCAACGTGCTTGGCAGCGAAGATCGGCTCCCAGTGAGTCCGCAACGCATCGACCATGGAGCCGCCGTCTCTGACGACCGTGCCGTTCTCCTCCGCACTTCCACAGCCATCAACTCCCCCCCCAACCGGCCGGCGCCTGGTCCACTTCCGCGGGATGCCAGCCCATCGGGATTGGCGTCTTGGGGAGGAGAGGGGCGTCGAACCTTGATTCCTTTCAAGATCAAGCGTCTCTTCCACGGGGCCCACATCAAAGCCCTCCGCTGGGAGACGCGGAGGATGCGCTGGAGCTGCATCGGCCCCACAGCGTCAGCCTGCCCGCGAGGGCGCTGCGCCGCCTGCTCGGCCTGGCGTCGTCGCTGGTCCTCGAAGTCGCGGTTAAGCACTGCCGCAGTCGAGGCGAGCTCATCGGCGAGGAGGAGGCGAACCTCGTCGCCGGAGGAGGAGTCGAGGCGAGGAGGAGGAGGAGGAGGTGGAGGAGGAGGAGGAGGAGGAGGACAATAACCCCCCTTCCAAGTTTCTTCTTCAGAGGTCCCTGTACAAATCCATTTTCATCGCGGGAAATACCACATTGAAAGACAACCGTCTAAGAACCCCCAATCGTGCCCCAACACCATTCCTGGGACTACAATATCGCGAATCAGCATAACTGTTGACTCCTGATTATCCCAAATCGCGCCAGAACGCCTTTCCTGGGCCTTCAACACCGCGAACCAAAGTGACTGTTACATCCTGACATGCCAAACACCGGGCCAAAACGCTATTCCTGAAATGCCAACCGTGCGGTCCTTCAAACTGTTGTGAACTTTCAAAACGAGCGTGCGCGGCGCTCAAGCCAGAGCGTCATTTTGCAAAAGAGCCGCCCTTCATCTTTGACGCCGCTGCACACGTTTAAAACGAATGCGCGCGGCGCTCAAGCAAGACCTACATTTTGAAAAGGAGCCGCCCTCCATCCTTGAAGCTGCTGCAAAATTTGAAAGCGAATGTGCGCGGCGCTAGGGGTACAACCACATGTTGTACACCACCCGCCCTCCATCATTGAAGTTGTTGCAAATTCCAACCTTCAGAATCATGAATGGCGAAGCAATCTCAAGCGAAACGCCCCGTCCGCCCTACCGACGCGCCAGAGGGTGTGACGGGGCGAAATTGTTTATCCGCCACCGTGCCTCTGGGCACGGAGTGGGCATGTCCTCGAGTCCTTGCCTAATCCTCTAAGCCTCAATGCTCACTCCTGCGGAGTCGTCAACGGGCCCGGGGGTCCGGGGAGTGTTCTCGCATGGATTTTCCAGGGCCAAGAAGGCGCCAAGAGGGCCCGAAGAAGCCGTTAAGGCGGCTCCGAGTCGCCGAACGATCGCTCCAAGACGCTCAAGATGGCCCCTAGACGGCCCAAGAGGCCTCCAAGACGCTCCACGAGGTCTCCCAAGAGAGCCCGGACCTGGAACAAAGGCAGAAGGGAGAAACGGCCCACTCCGAAAGCCTTGTCACGAGATCCAGGCCCAAACTCTCCACCTCTCGACGGAGCTTAACTTGCGCACACCCCGCCACACCCGCCCAGCGTGCTGGGATAGGTGAGACGGTTATACGATGGGCTTGGCCTTTGCCCTGGGCCAATCCAT